GTCTGGCCTCTGCCTTGTTTTGTTAAATAAGCTTCTGTTGGAACATGGCCATTTCATTCATTTACAAATTGCATATTGCTGTCTTCCTGCTTCAGAGGCAGAGTTTAGTAGTTGCAGCAAAGATGGTTAAGGCCTACAAAGCCTAAACTATCTGCACTCAGGAGGTATCTCTGAACATTACAATTCATGGAGAAGTTTTGCCAACTCCTGACCTATGCTAACAAATACGTACACATAATTCCTCCCTTCAAGTAGCTCATAAACTAATATAGGGTAAGAGAAGGGAAAATAAATGAAACTGGTAATATGAAAAACGTTGTTAAAAGTACATTCACAAAATATGGCAAAAATCACTAGATAAAGCACACTAATTCCTCGAGTTGCTTTCTTTTCAAGCAGTTGAGCAAAGAAAGCGCCTCACGGGGCATGTATTTCTGTTGGCTCTTAAAGCATAATTATGGGTTTTCTAAGCAGAGGACAGAAAAGGCATCTGAGGCAGGGAAAATAGCATGTGAAAAAGACATGAGGGTGGGAGGCAGAAGGACATTTGGGGACGGTGGGAAAGGATCACAGCAGAAGAAAGTGGCCTACGCAGGTCTTTACACTCCTTATTTCTTCCCCTTGGATCTTTCTGAAACATTTGTCATTTTCCAAAATGCTCATTAATACACTTCCCTCCACCCCCTAGAAGGTAAGCTTAACAAGTATTTGTTGAATGAATGAGTGACTGAATGACTGCCCAAATTAATTCGTGGCGTGGTCCGTTAAGTGTAAAAGACTGCCAGGAGTCCCAGAGGTCACACGGTGTCACCCCCTCTTCCCGCTGACTCTGGTTTAGTGACTTGGGTACAGCTGCCATACCTCATGCGTTTCCTCTGAGCCACGCCCTTTCTGCTCCTGTCTGCGGGCCTCTCTCCTTACTAGAGATGATGAAAGCAAAGGAGCAGTTGAACAGTCAGCTTCCTCCCAGATAGCTGTAAGCATTATGGCTGTTTTCCTCCTCTAGCTACAAATACAGTTCAAAATCCTTTTCTGCAGCTCTGGCTGGAGTTCCCACAGCAGCTCTGGTCAAAAGCAGTCAAACCTGCCCCAGATGCTTTCTCTGCTGCCTGGATCCTGTGATCCATTTTTCTTCAGTCTCAGCTGCAGAAGCAAAGTCAGAGATTCACAGTGTCTGTGGTCTAGTTAAACTTAGTCTATTCCATTTCCACAAACGAGAGCTCTGAGACAGTCCTTGGACGTGCAGGCCACTCAATGAAGAACCAGGTAAACACTGGTGAACG